TTGTGTGCAAAGGCACCAGATGCACTCAGCAGATAAAAACCTCATTATACAGATCAATATAATCTAGTAATAAAAACGTAGCTGAGAAACACATCTTCCTTTTCTCTCGAGTGCCTCTAATAGTCTCCCTCGATGTGTTTTAATCTTTCCAGCTCTGCCTTACAATCAGACAGAGGCATCCAACTCACTGCTCCAACTCTGTATTGAATAATAAATCAATACTGTTGTTTTCGGCTGACAGGAAAGTCTGCCAGCCAGAGCAACTAATGGATTGTTGGAGAAGCATAGTAGTGTTGTTATATAAGTGTGTACATGTATGAAGAAGATTATTCCCAACTGTGTGTATTGAAGCTGTGGGTCAAACACACACACGCGCCCACACACTACAAAATACACATTTACACTACATTTGGTTTTCACTGCATTCAGATCAGAACTTTTTTCAGTAAGACATTTCTTACTACTGTCAGCTGCACAAAAAAAGTGTCCTGATATTAATTTATATGCATAGATACGTATAGTGTATATAGTGGGAAAACCTGTTTATGTTATTTATGCAATTTTACACACATTAAATCAAATCATTCTGTTATATCTTTCACAACGTAGTTGAGAATCATCTTTATTCAAAGTTTGGTATTAAAAGAATCGATTGGTGATTTAAAAAAATCCCACTGGTTTTGCCTTTTCATGTCTATTCATGTTTTCTTTTTGTTTTTTGTTAAAAAATGTACTTCTGGTGTCCTCTGTAGAGGACATAGTATAACAATAAAATAAAAATAATTTTTCAAAAACAATTCTAAACAATGTAATGACATAAAAAAAACTACATTCACAAAACTTATTTTTCTGGTAGTCAGGAGGATACATACACACACACACACACACACACACACACACACATTCATAAACTTATTTACACAATCATAGACTTATTTAAAATAAATGTACATTTTTTAATTTATAAAAATACTTTATAAATATATAAAATAATATTTATTTTTATATGATTTCATATAAACATTTTAATTATATATAAATAATACAAATTTTATGAATGTGTATTATTATTTTAAAATCATTTAAATAAAACCATATATAATGTTGTTTTTATTTTAAATTATATAAATATAATTAATAATTGTATGTATGTTTAATTAAATTAAATAAAAAAAATTAAAATAAAACATTATAAAAGAATATCATTTTGTTTTTATTTTATACATAATTTTTCATTTGATTTATTTATTCATTTAAGTATATATTTTATTTATGAATATAAGACCCATGACCTTCAACCTACTTTCACCACTACACCGTAGTACAACAGAGAGACCAACTCCACCTACATATCCAAACTCAAGCAAACACTTAAATTACTCTTAATCATCTAATTATAGGTCACTCTGTTCTCATACGTCTTCCAAGACAGGCTTTAATTTGATAATTATTGATTGCACTTTCAGTGTGTGGGAATGAAGGAGATTTCAGCTGATTTATATTTTCCTTGTTAAACAGATTAGATTACCCAAAGACAACAGCCAAATACTACGTCTCTACGTACAATGTTTTTGTTTTGCTTTTAAATAACAGTCATTTAAAATGTCACCTCACATGGATAGTTTAAAGAACTGTTGCAGTAAAATAACTGCATGCTTACTTAATTATCTGAACTAAAACTACAACATCTTTGTCTCTCAGTGCCATTTTAAACACAACCGAGAAAGTAAACTTTGTCAGGAGCCCAGAAAACACAAAGTCATTAGTCATCAAGGATAACACTACATTTGAATAACATACTTTCATCTAGAAATATGACCATCATTCAGTAACCATATATCATAAAAGTAAATCATAAAAATATTAAACTACCAAAAAATAGTAAAATATAATTCTTGTATATATATATAAACTGAGTAAACGTCAAAAAGTATTAGCTACTAAAAAGCAGCCTTTATAGACCACTCTCCCTCTTCTTGGTTCTGATAGTTAAATCAGACTCACGTGGATAACATACAGTATGTGACAGCTGAATTGATTATCAGGGTCTTATGCATTAAGAAACACCCACGCCTCCATTAAATCAGCACACGGTGCAATTATCCGAATCATTGCACACCCCGGGCTGAGCTGGACCCAGACAACCTGTGAAAGGTTTCACTAAACGCTGACTCACTCCACACACTGATGTGATAATGGCATTCATAGCATCTCATCTCAGCAATGCCAATTCATATTCTGAAGCTTGTTGATCTTTTAGTGCATATTTTAGAGATTATGGAAGTTTGTATCTGGATACTGGTATCATATATAACATTAAACAATATTTTAGCCTGGCTGAATGTTAGGTTCACCCTCAAAATAAGAGGTTTAAGTATAAGTTAAGTCATAGAATTAACATCACAAACAATCAAGACTACATTTACAGATGATCGCCGACCCAGTACTAATTGAGGAGCAGTACACATCAAACATTTTTAGATTGAAAAACATACCTAAAAAGTATTAATTATTCACTTTCAAAGGGCTTATCTCCTGCATATTTTTTAATAATTAAAATATTTTCCCAGTCAAATGATAAAGTTGGTCTGGGTTTCTTGCATTAAAATGTATTTTAAAAAATTACCAAAAAAAAAAAAAATGGGCCAAGTTTACACATTTACCATTCAAAAGTTTGGGGTCAGAGATTATTTAATGTTTTTGAAAAAAGTCTCTTATGCTCACCAAGGCTGCATTTATTTGATCAAAAACACAGTAAAAACAGTAATTTTGTGAAATATTATGACAATTTAAAATAGCCGTTTTCTACTTTAGTATATTTTAAAATGTAATTTATTCCTGTGATGGCAAAGCTGAATTTTCAGCATCATTACTTCAGTCTCTACATTTACAGATGATCGCCGACCCAGTACTAATTGAGGAGCAGTACACATCAAACATTTTTAGATTGAAAAACATACCTAAAAAGTATTAATTATTCACTTTCAAAGGGCTTATCTCCTGCATATTTTTTAATAATTAAAATATTTTCCCAGTCAAATGATAAAGTTGGTCTGGGTTTCTTGCATTAAAATGTATTTTAAAAAATTACCAAAAAAAAAAAAAATGGGCCAAGTTTACACATTTACCATTCAAAAGTTTGGGGTCAGAGATTATTTAATGTTTTTGAAAAAAGTCTCTTATGCTCACCAAGGCTGCATTTATTTGATCAAAAACACAGTAAAAACAGTAATTTTGTGAAATATTATGACAATTTAAAATAGCCGTTTTCTACTTTAGTATATTTTAAAATGTAATTTATTCCTGTGATGGCAAAGCTGAATTTTCAGCATCATTACTTCAGTCTTCAGTGTCACATGATCTTCAGAAATCATTCTAATGTGCTGATTTGGTACTCAAAAAATATTTCTGATTATTATTAATGTTAAAATCAGTTGTTACTTAATATTTTGTTTTTTCAGGATTCTTTGATTAATAGAAAGTTCAAAAGAACAGCATTCATTTGAAATAAAAAGATTTTGTATCAATGTAAAAATCCATACCACTACTTTTGATCAATTTAATCAATTTAATAAACCATGCTAAATAAAGTATTCATTTTTCTTTCTTTCTTTCTTTCTTTCTTTTGATTAATAGAAAGTTCAAAAGAACAGCATTCATTTGAAATAAAAAGATTTTGTATCAATGTAAAAATCCATACCACTACTTTTGATCAATTTAATCAATTTAATAAACCATGCTAAATAAAGTATTCATTTTTCTTTCTTTCTTTCTTTCTTTCTTTCTTTCTTTCTTTCTTTCTTTCTTTCTTTCTTTCTTTCTTTCTTTCTTTCTTTCTCTCTCTCTCTCTCTCTCTCTCTCTCTCTCTCTCTCTCTCTCTCTTTCTTTCTTTCTCTCTCTCTTTCTTTCTTTCTCTCTTTCTCTCTCTCTTTCTTTCTTTCTTTCTTTCTCTTTCATTTATTGATTTTGGAATGGTAGTGTACTTTTAGTAGTTTCAATAAATAGTCTTGGTAGTCTAGGGATTTTTAAGTTATACTGTAAAAGTCAGTTATCAAAAGTATTTCCAAAGAGGAAGGGAAATGTGATTTGTCATGATGACCCATTGAAATGTTTTTCCTGCTTTTTCAGATTGTAAGCATTCTGGCAGCTGTTTAAGAGATTGACAATACGTGTCTCTTACCTTTCCTGGCCCGAGAGAAAAGTTTGATGCTGACAGGAGACGTGGAGGGATTGGTGGAGTCTTTGGAGGATGAGCGAAAGATTCCGGTGAAGCTGCGGCGACGTGAACACTTGGGTGAGGAGTCGTGGTTGGAGGAGTAGGGGAAGACGGGTTTGGGAGATCCAGGGCAGTTTCTGAATCGGGCCGGAGCGGACATGGGGCTAGAGGGCCGACTAAACGGACCCCGGCTGAAGAAGTTTTTGCTCGGGCTGGCTGAACGGCAGCTAAGCTCCCCCTGAAGAGTAAATACAATCACATACAATATTAGGACAACAGCTAGTCAAAGCAGATTTTTACATTTCCTGAAGATATCACAACTAGAAGTCATTTGCACAATATAATGAATGAAACATTGCACTTTTGAGCATATATTGAGAGAAATATTGATCCTTGAGATTTTAAATCATAGAGCAATAATAAATAATAGTATAAGTAGTACTGAAAAGACATTCCCAGTGTAAGGAGACATAAATTGATATAAACAAACATTACTTAAAAGTAAATAATGTTTGCACCAATTCTGGCTGATTAATAAATAAATAAAATCAGTTATTTTAAATGCTAAATTAAATGCTGTTAAATGATGGCACACACATGTAAAAATTGCATCAACAATTAAATATCCAATCTTAGTTGATACCGATAGGGAAAAAATATGATATGGTGCCAAGATATTGTGAATTCCTCCTTTTTTCTTTTTATTACCATCTCTCTTTCTCTCTCTCTTTCTTTCTTTCTTTCTTTCTCTTTCATTTATTGATTTTGGAATGGTAGTGTACTTTTAGTAGTTTCAATAAATAGTCTTGGTAGTCTAGGGATTTTTAAGTTATACTGTAAAAGTCAGTTATCAAAAGTATTTCCAAAGAGGAAGGGAAATGTGATTTGTCATGATGACCCATTGAAATGTTTTTCCTGCTTTTTCAGATTGTAAGCATTCTGGCAGCTGTTTAAGAGATTGACAATACGTGTCTCTTACCTTTCCTGGCCCGAGAGAAAAGTTTGATGCTGACAGGAGACGTGGAGGGATTGGTGGAGTCTTTGGAGGATGAGCGAAAGATTCCGGTGAAGCTGCGGCGACGTGAACACTTGGGTGAGGAGTCGTGGTTGGAGGAGTAGGGGAAGACGGGTTTGGGAGATCCAGGGCAGTTTCTGAATCGGGCCGGAGCGGACATGGGGCTAGAGGGCCGACTAAACGGACCCCGGCTGAAGAAGTTTTTGCTCGGGCTGGCTGAACGGCAGCTAAGCTCCCCCTGAAGAGTAAATACAATCACATACAATATTAGGACAACAGCTAGTCAAAGCAGATTTTTACATTTCCTGAAGATATCACAACTAGAAGTCATTTGCACAATATAATGAATGAAACATTGCACTTTTGAGCATATATTGAGAGAAATATTGATCCTTGAGATTTTAAATCATAGAGCAATGTCAGAAATGATCCATTTTATGCATACAAAATCATCAGTGAATGGCATTCTCTTACAGACTAAGCATATTTTCTGTTACTGTGACGCTATGCTGACCATTGACAGCATGTTTGAAGGACACGGACAGACAGACACTGAGATACTGAATGAAGAGACGTCATAACATTCAGATGAGTCCTTGATGTCTCCACCGTTCAATCACATGGGAATTTCACACAGCTAAACAGCCAGATAAAGCCACTGAAAACTGTTTAGACAGCCAAAAGAACAGATGGCCTTGTTTTGTCAAGAGGCTTTTGTTAAATCAGAGAGGCTCACACAGTGGCATAAATACCTCACTGTGTACCTAAAAACACTACATAACTATCCCATCTATCTCGCTCACTTGCTCTCAGAATACAACAAAGTGGGATTTGTAACTGAAGTTAAAGGGATAGTTCACTCAAAATTAACATTCGGCCACCATGTACTTTCCCTTCAGCAGGGTTATTATCATTAGCTAACACTAAAACTATTATAAACATGTTTGTTCACTGAAATAACGCTGAAAGAAATACAATAAATATAACATTAGATGAAATTGAAAATTAGAAATGTGCCCTAAAATTACTTAAAGACGAAAAATGTGACTAAAAGTCTATTAAAACTAGTGCTCGGCAACGATTAATCGCGATTAATCGCACCCCAAAATAAAAGTTTTTGTGTACATATGTGTGTTTACTGTGTATATATATTATGTATATATAAATACACACACATGCATGCATACATATATTTAAGAAAGATACGTTATGTTTATATTTTAAATATATTTATATATAATATGAATATAAATATATTCATGTAAATATTTTCTAAATATATACTGTATGTGTTTCTTTATATATAAATAATAAATATACACAGTACACACACATATATTATGTAAACAAAAACTTTTATTTTGGATGCGATTAATCGAGATTTCTAAAGAACATCCTGGCCACTGCTGTCAGTATAATGAAAGTAAATGAGGAGTGGGATTGCCAAGCTCCAAAATGACAAAATATCACATCAAAGTGTTATATAATACAACTCTTGCACTATATTTCAAGTCACATGACAGCTTTTGTGAGGAAAAGACTGAAATTGAAGTTGTTTTTCATGAAAAACCTTGAGATACTTCGATTAATCGAGATTTCTAAAGAACATCCTGGCCACTGCTGTCAGTATAATGAAAGTAAATGAGGAGTGGGATTGCCAAGCTCCAAAATGACAAAATATCACATCAAAGTGTTATATAATACAACTCTTGCACTATATTTCAAGTCACATGACAGCTTTTGTGAGGAAAAGACTGAAATTGAAGTTGTTTTTCATGAAAAACCTTGAGATACTCTTGGTATGTTCATGAGAAAAAGTAGTGATGTGAATGAATTGAGATCTTTTCAATGAAGCGGTTCAGTCAGTACACAGTGTTAGTCTAGTTCTTAAAGGGATAGTTTACCCAAAAATTAAAATTCTCACTAATTATTCACCCTCATGTTGTTCCAAACCCAGAAATTTCATAATCATTAAGTTCAACTTAATGATTCATTGCAGTGGAAGAAACAGTTTTCAGCAAATCATTTCATTTTGGGTCTGTTCCTCACACAAAACCTGTCAAATGTTTTCAGAAGACTTGGAATATAGCACACAATCATATGAATCAGTTTCATGAAACTTTTATTGTGTTTTTTGAATGTGATAAAGGTCTGTGTTTCACACACACACACACACAGGTTTGTTTTTATGGTTTATGGGGACTCTCCATAGGCGTAATGGTTTTTATTCTGTACAAACCGTATTTTCTATTGCCCTACACCAACCCTACCCCTAAACCTACCCCTTACAGGAAACATTCTGCATTTTTAGATTTTCAAAAAAACTCATTCTGAATTATTTATAAGCCTTTTGAATTACGGGGACACTGAAAATGTCCTCATAAATCACCTTCTCGTTGTAATACCTATGTCATACCCATGTTATTATACAAATTTGTGTCCTCATAAACCACATAAACATGCACACACACACACACACACACACACACAAAATGTCTTACAAGTTTAGAACAACATGAAGTAGGGGTGGAATATACATCACAGGGCTAGTGATGACTAAGGAAATTGCATAATTCAAACAAACCAATTAAATGTGTGATATACACATTCTTTGGAAGAATATGCAACTGTCAACAGCTTTTTCAGATTCATTAAACCATGACACAATATTGGAAGCACATAAAAAAACAATTATTTGTTAGTCACTCTAATGCTTTTTTTCACAACAGAAATTATTTTCAAAACCAAAAAAAAACTGTTTTTACTTTTGGCACAGCCTTATGTGTTTGGGTTGTGTTACCTCCTTGGCATGTTCTGCATCTCCTTCCAGGAACGGCATGGCGAAGGAGCTCAAGTCCTGCGGAGAACAAACAAACACAATGATTGAGCTCATTAAAAATCACTTTCATGACTGTGGCACCTCTCATTTACTCCATACAAATACCATAATCAACAATTCACAGATCTACTGTGGCTTTCTTCTAAATGGATCAAAGGTTAAGCTCTACAGTACCCCAAAATCACAAGGAATTATACAAATAACAGGCACAGAGGAAAGAGTATAACGCTTTGGACAGTTAAACAGAAGCACATCACATAAGACAGATGGACACTCGGTGGGTGATCCGTCTAACCTGTACTGCCCAGCCAGTTATACAAGAACAATTTGGAAGAACTCACAGCAGATTCAAAACGTCTCCACTGTCCTCCTTCTCAAAATTCCACTGACTTTTATCAACATCAGTCACTGCAGCTTCGTCTCTACTTCTTTCAGACAACACATCTTCACAGCCATGCAATGACAACTAAAAACATCGACACGGCCTCTGTCATTTAAACCGGTTTTTAAAGTAACATGATCTCATGTGACCGCCCTGCAATTTTTTCCCGGTCTGTGCGAATGGATGTAAAACCTGTAATGCACAGATTAAATCAAGCATCACTTAACCTCACAATAGACTCCCATTTTTGGACATCGGACAATGATTTCCAAGAAACTCCAAAGGGATCAACAAGCGTTTGTTCTATTTTACCAGGCCAGCTTCAAAAGTGACATATTATGCCCCTTTTTACAATATGTAATATAAGTCTCTGGTGTCCCCAGAATGTGTCTGTGAAGTTTCAGCACAAAATACTCCACAGATCATTTATTATATCATTTTGAAAATGCCTATTTTGAGTGGAAGCAGAAACACGCTGTTTTTCGGGCCGGTCTCTTTAAATGCAAATGAGCTGCTGCTCCCCGCCCCCTTTTCCAGAATAGAGCTGCGCCTTTACAGCTCATATCTGCTAAAAAAACTCTGTTTTGGTTCTGATTATCATGTTTATCGTGCTGAAATCATGCGTTTTAAACCACATGAGTTTAATCTTCTGATATACGGTTTTCTGAGCGCACACGTCCGAAGCACACGGACAGAAAGCGGCTGTCACAGCATGCGAGTACTAAACTAAGTTCTCATTCACACACAAGTTTACTTTAAAAACACACATGAGTTACAAAAACAGTCGGTTATGTCTGTAAAGATAAACAGCTGGGAAATAAATTGCTTGTTTATTTTAGATCTGTGTGGCAGCAGCAATATACAGTAAATAAATCCACTGCTCTCTTGTCTCCTCTGAGGCTGGGACTCTGTTCTGTGCTCGTCTGTGCAGTCAAAGGCAGAACAGTTAGCATGTTTTGCTCAAAGTTTCGCCGTGGCATTAGAACTAATACACCGTTGTCGCTTGCGAAAACACAATGACGGCGCCGTGGGTGGAAACTTACAGATTAAGGGGTGGTAATATTATAATGAGATCCCTTTGCCACTTCACCAAAGGAGCGAAATCTGCTTGTTTTCTCACATGCTTGCAGAAAAAAGCTTATCAAAACAAAGTGAATGGGTTAATTTTTGCATTTATTCCTTGGTTGGTAGATGCACCGGGGACCTGATTATAGCACTTAAAACCTGGAAAAGTCAGATTTTCATGATATGTCACCTTTAAGAAAAAGGCTCAAAAGCATGACGGATTGCATGGGGGTTGAAATGAGATAAACGTGGGCAGTTTATGAAAATTGTACAACCAGAATCCCTTCTAAACAAAATATATTCTAAGAACATTTGACCAACTTTCCCATTAAGTTATGAAAAAGTTATATGCTTTCTGAACTGAACTTGATATGAACATTCGAAAAAACATAAGGTATGTTCAATTTTTGCATTTTGCAAACATTATGGGAATGTTACTTTCTCTGAACCATCTGAAACAATTAGTAAGTGGTAACATTTAAAAAAAATCACGAGACTAAAAGTTTTTGAACACTGAGTCCGAAATTTTTGCATGTTAAAAAATAAATACGAGCTCACATTGTGTCAATCACATTTACACACTGTCAGAAACTTTCGTCTGTCATAAATTTTTTTGGATCAGGTTAAATTTTCTGCGTTTTCGCATCCGTACCAAGCAGAAAGGATGACGAATACGAAAAAAATCTACAAAAATGTTGGACTTGGTGTGCAAGGACCTTAACATCCAACTAAAATGTGCAAATGTTTTAGTAACGTAATTAGATAACTTAACATTCTCTTAACGTTAATGAAAGAACATTTGTTCAAAACTTTGAGAGAACCTTGCCAGAACATTCTGAGCACGTTCTCTGTTAGCTGGGATAATTCTCGAACAACATTAAAAACATTTTCACAGCTAAATGAAGAAACTATAGCACAGTACAGCAGCTTGCAAACTTACACACAGGTTCTTCAATTCTTCATCCATTTTGCTGCTGTTTGCTAGAATCTCGTACCCTCAAAGACTAGTACCTAAACTCACTTTGGCAGTAACCTAAAGCTCACTAAAATGCTCAGAATCTGTAAATGTGACGCAGTGATATTTCAAACAACAGCACAAACCACAGAGTCACTGAAGTGCATGAATTAACTTTATCCTCATTACACAATCCGCTATTGTAGCTACACAGAGGACGATTGTTTAGCGGTCACTCCATATATTTGAGATGTATTAGTGTGATCTGTACCATGCAGTTTAAAAACCCTTTGCTAGCCTGACCTGTTACCCACTACACAGAGAATTACTGTAACCGGTGACACATTAAAAAGCACTACTGTTAGTGTTTCCTAGTGCACTTTTCTTATACATCCATTTACTTAATGAAATCAATACTAATAAAAGCATTAGTGATCGACTGAATCTGATATGGGTTTTTCTATGGTTGATGACATAGAATGTAGGGTGGAATATGGCTGACAAACTGAAAATGTCAAATAATGTCAATTAATGACATTTGCAGTCATCTAATGCATCTTTAAAAACTATTTAAATGTATTTTTGAGCAAATTTCAATATTAATATCCATATTCATAATGTCATTTTTCATAAATTCACTTTTAGTATTTAACAAAACAGATTTTACTAATTTAGACAAAATAGTATAGAATTTATAGTATATTGTCCATAACATGAAAATAACCTGAATATAAATATCTGTGCATCCCTATTAGTATTGTAATTACAATAAACCTGCTTCTATAAAATAAATAATTACATAAAACTGTATTTAAAAAAAAATTACGGTATGATTCACTTAAATTGAGTAAATGCTGACTTATCAGTTTTATTCAGATTTGTTACTATATTCAATGTGTTTTACTACTATATAGTAATATAGAAAATGATGAAGCATATAATGAATTTAATATGTGAATCATATAGTTAATTTGAACCTCAGCCAATGATACTCTACCTAGAACCTTTCACATTTCTCAACATTAGCACTTTTATTTCTATATTCGATGTATTTGTTATTTAATTTTTTCTCACAATTGTAAAATCCAAAACTGGCTAATCGCTTTTAGCATCCTTTCCGTGTCTCTTTCATTACAAGCATCCATTACGGTCTGACTCATGTTACTCCTCAACTTGCAAATCTTCTCGTCTCACAAGGGGTCAGTCATATCCATGGTAACAGGATTGACTTTCAAAGCCTGAGACAGCAGTTCCACTCCCAACTGACAGAAATGGGAGTAAAAGCCAAGAAAAATCAAACCCATGAGTTAGAATTCAAATCAACGTCCTTGAAAATGTTTCATAAGATTTGTTTGCAACATGAGAATCAACAAGTACTTAAACTGCTTGAATTTCCCAGCAAGTTGGCCAGATGTATTGGCAACATGCCATTTATCGTACCTCATCTCCCAATGTACAACACAGATCCGGGTCAGTTTCCTTATCTAGAAAAGAAGGACCACAGCCAAAGCAGAAAAACCATCTGTCCTGTAGATGGGGAGCTCAATGCACCCCCGCCTCCATATCCTTGGAGCCCAAGACCAGATTACAAACCCATATTTGCAGGCTAGAGATCAGGACAAAACATTACCTCTGCGAACAAGCACTGGAGAGCGATCAAATAAAAAACACCCTCTCAGATTCACAGAGTTACCGCTGCAGCGTTCTTGCATCGAGAAGCGAGCATTCGGAAATCCCATTAGACAAATGCAGGGTTGCTCCAAGGAGCAAGGACAGTCATAACTCACTGACATGATACAGCACCTCCCTTCAGTAACATGGAGGTCAGTGGGGCAAGTCTGGGGATTTGTGTGTTTATACCTAAATAAACCTAAATACAGGAAGGTAACAAGCTGGCTTGCAGCTCTGTCTGTTTGTGTATGAATAAACAGAGAAAAATACAGTGCAAGTAATGACTGAGGGAGAGATTCAGCCTGGCGGGGGTCCGCAAAGCATTTGTGACAAACATCATAAAATTGCATCAGGCATGTCCAAGGCAACCATTCAGCATCTCACTGTAGTTGGCATGAGTCACAAAAGACACAATGTAACAGAATATGTGAATCACAGACACAAAATGCAAGCGCTTGTGATGCTGAAGTTGAAACTGACAGCAGGTTGTGTACAGATCAATTAAAGTACAATATTTGAGACTTGACTTTTCCGAAAAACACTCTTTTTTTTTTACCTTCTGAAGTCAAGATCAGCAAACTCTGGAGCCCTGCAAAGGTCAAAGTGCACAGCAAAAGATCATAATTCAACCACGTGACACAAATGGTCTCCAAAACATGGGAACCCTTGTGAAAATTTAGTAGGCAGGCCTACACTTTAGCATTTAGCATGAAAGAGCACTTATTCTATAATACTTTAAGATAAATTATATATTTTAAAAGAAGAAACTGAATGTTTTCAGATGCTTAATTGATATTATTTACAATTAAATAAAAAAGTATTAGTTTAAATGTACAAAATTAAATTAGTGCTTTTTGACCCACTTAAAAAGGATGTAAGTACATATCTATATGTAATTTCATAATTCCATTGTCTTTGAAATATGGTTGAAGTGAACTGTTGAAT